AAGTTAATATTCATGACATTTGTTAGAGTCCTCATGGGTCAACTATGGCTAGCTACATATTGAGTGGCCTTCCTCTGAGCCAGGTCAGAGATTTGGGCTTCTAAGAGCCAGCCCACATCATGCTTTCTCTGGTGTAGTTGTAGTGGGCTATTTGTCTGATTCTAGAAATCAGAAAGGGCAAGGGGCAAGATCCCGCTTGATATCCCAACTTACTGAAGTAAAAAAGAAAGGTTCGCAGTGTGTTAGTGGACTCCCCAAGATTCTTCTAATCACATAATTTTCAGAGTCCCACCTATAATCCTCTGGACCATTACCGTATTACTAATTTGGATCAGAGCCACCCTCATGGAAGCCCCCTATCCTTATCGGTTAGTGTCTGAAGTTAGAGTCTTTAAGCCTGACATTGATCTGTATATACCTTTTATATACAGATAAAAGGTAATGACTTCTAATAGGAGGATTCAGAGAAATGTTCAAGGAAACATCTTTCATGAATAAGCTGTACCCCTTGCCTTGGATAGCTTATTTTATTTGGTGTTAGCAATCCAGCAGTAACATTTCATGGTATTTTATGGTATACTGAGTCATTGTGGAAAATGGAACACTGAGATGTAATTAGAATGAATTTATACTTCTGAAATCTCTCCAGAGTAGGACTGGAGTAGCCTACAGCTCAACTGCACCAATGGCAGAAAATACCATTACCAGCATTACTCGTCAGTCTGTTGTTACCTTAGTGAGCTCCTTTGTAACATGCTGGTGAATCCCATCACCAGGCTGCAGGCATTGGGTTTTGACTAAGCAATGCTCAGAATATTTTCAAGTGATATAAGCAACTATAGATGTTCCACATTTTATAGATTATCTGTATTTAAAAAAGAGAGAGGATGATTTTATTCTACATAGAGATATTCTACATATCTCTTCTTTAGACAGAAATAAAAATTGAGTTAATAATAATACTAATAGGGGCAGCCCAGGTGGCTCAGCAGTTTAGTGCCGCCTTCAGTCCAGGGCCTGATCCTGGAGACCCAGGATCGAGTCCCACATCAGGCTTCCTGCATGGAGCCTGCTTCTCCCTCTGCCTGTGTCTCTGCCTCTCTCTCTCTCTCTCTCTCTCTCTCTCTCTCTCTCTGTGTCTCTCATGAATAAATAAATAAAATCTTAAAAAAAAAATAATACTAATAGGGGCACCTGGGTGGCTCAGTGGTTGAGAGTCTGCCTTTGGCTCAGGTCATGATCCCAGGGTCCTGGGATCGAGGCCTGCAACAGGCTCCCCACAGGGCGTCTGCTTCTCCCTCTCCCTGTGTCTCTACCTCTCTCTGTGTCTCTCAGGAATAAATAAATAAAATCTTAAAATAAATAATAATAATAATAATAATAATAATAATAATAATAATATAGGGGGACTTGGATGGCTCAGTCAGTTAAACATATGCCTTTGGCTCAGGTCAAGCTCCCAGAGTCTTAGGATTGAGCCCTGCGTTGGGCTCCCTGCTCAGCAGGGAGGCTGCTTCTCCCTCTCCCTCTGCCCTTCTACCCTGGCCATTCTCATTCTCTTTTTCTCTCTCTCTCTCAAATAAATAAATAAATGAATAAATGAATGAATGAATAAATAAATATCTTAAAAGAATACTAATATATTAGTTTGCTGTTGTAATTCTTTCGGCAACCCTGGAATTACTTGAAATTCCTTTTCTACCTTTCTATAAAGGGTTTTTCTGAACCATGATTTGTCTCCTGAATGGGTAGACCTATTATACAGAAGTACCTTGAACTAAGTGACTACTATAGGTTACTCGAAGCAGTTATGTCCCTTATAATTAATAAAATTACGAATTCACACTATTTTTTAACTCAAAATCTTGTAAATCTGGTTAATACTGGTTTTCATTCAGCAACTATTTACTGAGTATCTGCTGCATGGCAGGCACTGGGCTAGCGACTGGGGATACAGTAGTGAAAAAGGCAAAGTCCTTTAATTAGAGTCTGATGATTATCGTGGGCCTGATTAACCCTGACTCAACTGATACAATCTAATTTCTCAGCCTGTTAAACTGTAGGGTATATTGTAGGTTGGAGAGTCACTCAGTGAAGTCTTATCTGAAATAGTCAGGCAGTTCTGCCCTTAATTATAACCCCTGGATCTGAGAAAAGAGAAGAGAAGGAGGAAGGGAGGGAGAGAAAAAAGACAGAATTATCAGCTGAGGTACTGATGCCACTCAAAGCACTGGAGACTGAAGGTAGGCCCACAGCTCCAGAGCTGCTAAGTCACAGTCATTACCCATTCCTCTCAAATCCCCCCAAAGCCAAAGTAATCCCTAAAGAAGAAAGAAGCAAGAAGGCAGACTACATGAAAAGTTTTCTATAATGGATTTATAGAGCCAATCTGGGAAGCGTGTCTAGTAAATTCTTCATTGTATAAGTCTCTCACAATCATTTTATTACTCATATAGGATAATACATTTTGATAGGGAAGAAATTAAACTATACCAGCCAGAATCCAGGAAGGAAGAAAGTTACAACTTAGCTCTGTGCTAAATACCTTTTTGTGTCTCGCTCAGTAATGAGAGAGACTAAAACAGAAGTGCTAGTTCTAAAGCTTTATATGTCTATGTGTTAAAAATGTTGTTGAATTATATAAAGCCATTCAGTTTAAATTTGAGCTTCAGAGCTGAGCCTTGGGTGGGTCCAGTTTAAACCTGTGATGTAAACAGAGGATATTTAAACCTATATCCACAGAACAGAATGTCTTACCTACACAGTAGTGGAGAAAGATGAGGAAAAAACAATTCATATCAATTCATGCTATGGATGGTCCTATAAGTGTGTGAGGACAAGGTCATGGACTCAGGACCATGGTCATGGAGAACACCCAAGACATACACACAAGCGGATCATTAGGGCCTAGCTTCAGTGGTCTGGGTCTAGCTTCTTATTTTGCCAACTTCAAGGGGATAATGATCTCACACAGAATCAAAGGTCACTGAAGTGAGCATGTTATTTAATCCCCTGTCTGCTCAAGGTCAGCTCTTTTTTTAAAAAATATTTATTTTTTTAAGTAATGCCTACACCCAACATGGGGCTCACACTCATGACCCTGAGATCAAGAGTCACATGCTCTACCGACTGAGCCAGCCAGGAACCCCAAGGTCAGCTTTAAATTGACCTGCGGGGAAAAATAAATAAATAAATACATAAATTGACCTGCGAAACAATATATCAAAAACAGCAATTTCTGGTTCTTGCATTACATGGCAATCCATATTTTTTAAAAATAAAATATCTACTGGAAGCTCTACTGCTACCATTAAAATAGACACTCATAATGTCTGTCCTCTTCTGAGAGAGAGTTCTCAGGTAAGGTGCAAAGTACTTCACTTGGAGCTAGTACATTCAGACAGGGATCAGGAGATGCTAGTCTGGGCAGACTGCTTGAGTAAGTTCCCAGCAAGTGGTTTTAGCTGTGACGTGCATCTTTGGGGTATGAGAGAAGAGAAGGGGAACATTGGTTGTCAGCAATTACAGGTGAGGTGATGCCCTGGATGGGCAGGAAGGAGGTGAGACTGTCAGTGAAACAGTGGGAAAAGGGGGAAAGATGTTTCCAACACAAGCTCATCCATTCTCCTACTTGTGGTAGGCATTTCCAGCATCTGCTTCTCTGTGGCTTCTAAGCAAACTGGAGGATTATGCTTCCATGCCCCCTTGAAGTCAAGTGTGATCATGTGACTTGCTTTGGCCAATGAAATGTAGTGGAAGTGAGGTGTATCACTTCCTGGAAGAAGTGTTTAATGATTGGGCTTGATTTTTCCACCCTCATCTTCTGCTTTACCCATGTGAATGTACCTACTGAGGAAGTGCCATAAGATCAAAGCAATAAACTATGTGTGAATGAGGGAAAAAACCAAACCAAACAGACTTGTTATAGTAAAGCCACTGATATTTCTGGGTTGTTTGCCTATCGTAACTGCATAATCTATTTTCTTTCCCTCTTTTTGACAATCTGTCTCTCCCTTGCTCCTTTCTTGCCTCTTCCCCTCATTCAATCTCTTCCTTCCTTTCTTCTCCCCTTTATTATTTCATTGTCCTAACTGAAAATAATAAAAAATATAATGTATATTCCTATTCTTAATCTAAAACATGGGTCAGTTTGTTTTTTGAAAAAGAAACGAGTAAATTTTTTTATTAAACATTTTATATTTTTCTCTTTTAAAATTAAAGCCCTGAGGTGAATTAAAAATCAGCTTTAGCTTATGTAAAAAAATTTATGCTTTGAAAACCTTATTGTGTTATATAAACATACAGTGTACTATTGTGGATAAGCCGTCAATTGATTTTCTTGTGTGGGTTAAGGGCTATCTGGAAAAATAAAAACAAACATAAAACTTCCCTAAACACCATGCAACAGCCATGCAGCTCAAAAACCAGAGCTCCCCATGGAGCAGGATCTGAACAGGAAATCACTTAGGTCATAACCAGCCACTTAGTTTTCATTGGTAACTTTGTTACAAAGGCTACTGGAGCTGGAGCATCCAGAAGCCTGTTCAAGACTAAAGGAAATTTGAAGTTATCACAAACACTACACATTTTCATGCACAATCATTCATGACCTGAGGTCACCCCCACAACCCTAAAAGTTGTTTCGAGCAATTAAAGTCACTCTAGACACGAAGCAGCAGAGAATGCAAAAGCAGGAAAATGCAATCGTAGCCTGGCTGATCATGCATATTTAACGAAACACAACAGATGTGTGCTTTAAAAAAAATTCAACAAGCTCTGGTTTTAAGTAAGAACATGCTCTACTAGGTAAACATGATGTGGACTTTCAGGCCATTTTACATCACCAAGGAGAGAACTGCTGAAGGTTTTACACATAACCAACTCTGCGGAGATGAACTTGTGCAGAGGGAGAGGAAAAAAGTATGGAGCAGTTACAGGAGGGAAAGAAGAACATGCAAAAAAGAGCAAGAATCAGATGGAGAATTCTCAAGTTCACTTACTGCCTGCTTTTGTTCTTCCTCCTAGAAATGTTGAAGATGGAAAAAAGGCAGAGGGAAAAAGGAGAGAGATTAATGCCCATCACCACAAACTTTTGGAAGAAATGAGAAGAATCCAGCAAACCAGGCCAGGCCCATGGGTTCTGAGACCAAAGACGTCGTCCACTGTCAGAGCACCATCATCTGGACAGAGTGAAGGGCAGGCCTCTGCCCCACCCAATTCACCCAGTGCTAGCTTCTAGAGCTGGGAAACCATCTAATCCAACTTCCTCATTTACAGACTGAATGGGCCTGACTTGACTGAGGTCACATAGTTATTTAGGGTAAACTAAAGGAAATAGCTCAACTAGGCCTCAAAAGCCCAATAATCATTTAAGCTCACCATCTCCAACATTCTTGTGTGTTCGCTAAGTTTCCCTAAGCTCGAGTCCTCAGAGCAGCAGTGGGACCTGGGAACTTGTCAGAGATGCAAATTCTGGGAGCCGGCCAAGCCCACCTGAATCCAAACTCTTGGGGTGGGTGGGGCACAGCAACGTGTTTCAGAGCCTTTCAGCTGATTCTGATGCCTGCTAGTTTGAGAGCCACTGCCCTAAAAACTTCCCCCAAACTAGCAATTTCACCTGACCACAGATTCTTTTAGTCCCCTCCTCTTCACTGGCTTTGGGTTGCTTTGTAGGTTTTTTCCCCTAAGGATGCAAATGTATCCCCATTTCTCCAGTAAACTCAAAACTGCTTCAGGGCCCTGAGAGGCTTTTGAAAAAAAGCTCTTGACTTCAGTTTCTAATTCAACACAGGTTCCTTTTGTACTTCTTATGCATAAAGCACTGAAAACATGAAGCTAAGGTGTGGCCTCCCAGTGGCAGCAGAGTGGGTGCACGCCAACTCCCAGCTACCAGAATGCATCCCTAGGAGGAAGCACAACAAGGACGAGATAAACACTTCTGAATTTCTCTCTCCTCAGTCCCTGGTTCTTCAGCGAATCTGTCTTTTAATGGGTCTTTGGGCTTCCTCTTTCTGTGCCCATCAGGGTAACTGTGGTCAGGGAGCCTCTGTTCTTTGCCCCCAGTGTGCAAATCTAAAAGCTGCTGCGATGGTTCTATTTAAATCAGATCCATCCGTGCAGGCAGTCTTCACTGAACATGTGTGTAGGAGGTCTTAGGGATGGACGAGTGCTTCTGCTTTCACAGAGTCTGCAGATCTGAAGGCAATGGTGAGACTTCAGAAAATCTCACTGATTACAAAAAGGAGAGAAGAGGTAAAGAATTTGGAAAAAAATAATTTTGGTCCTGCAAGGGAGAGACATGGACTAGGAATTACTTATTTTTTAAAAGATTTTATTTATTTATTCATGAAAGACTCACAGAGAGAGAGAGGCAAGAGACACAGGCAGAGGGAGAAGCAGGCTCCATGCAGGGAGCCCGACATGGAACTTGATCCCGGGTCCCCAGGAACACACCCTGGGCTGAAGGCAGCACTAAACCACTGAGCTACCGGGGCTGCCCTGGACTAGGAATTAAACGGGCATAAAGAACTCTCTTAAGGAGACTCCAGCTCTGCACAAGAAGATGTGCTTCATAATCAAAGCCAGCTGCTAGATGCCTGACCATACCTATGCTTACAGGCGTCCAAGCAAAGAGGGGCCCTGGGCAGGAGCCGAGTTAGCCTTAAGCAGTTAGCACCTTTCAGCTTTTGCATCTGGCACGCAGGGCTCTGGTTAGAAGGGATTCGAATTCTGCAATTGGGCGGAGATCTCCCTTCCTGGCCAGGCTTCCCTGTCAGAACATTTTTCTTCCATTCACTAGGCAAGGCAAACAGCCATAGGAAGAGTTATTAAACAATTTAAAAAGTATTTTTCTTGCTGGCACTAATTGTTGAAATGGACACTGAGATAGTGGGGGAGGGATGAGCTGATCCTGACAGGCTGAAATTGCAGCTGAGCTCAGAAGACCAGGACGAAAGTTCTCAGAGCTGTTTCTAAGACACCTCCCTATTTCCTCTGCATTCTCCAGGTTTGGTATTGGAGGTAACATTGCTTTGGCTCAACAGAATAGGGGAATTTCAGAGAGCAATGTTTCATGTTTGCACATCTGGTGACTCTGCTAGGGAGAGTCTGTCCAAGGACATGACATCATTACAATGTGCAGTGGACACGTGTCAGGTTAGGACGGGAGGGGTGTACAGGGGCGGGAGCCTTTTCTGCTATGCACTGGGATAGACAGACGGGGATGGGCTTTGATAAAGTGTTCCTTAGGATGGTGTCATAGTATTTAAACTTGCACAAGTTGCTCAGATAAAGCCTTGGAAGGCTCTGTCAACACAGAAAACAGTGCAGATACAAGGTCTTAGAACCTTTTGGTTATTAGCCAGTAAGCTGTGGTCAGAAAACGCTGATTCGTGGCAAATGGTGTAGGAACCAAGTTGATTTAAAGGAAGCCCTAATACTTTGACTAAAAAGTGCACATCTAGAAATGCTTCTGTCACCTAAAAACATGTGAGGCTTTTCCACTTGGGTGGCACCTGGCTAGGTGGCCAAATCCTGCCATAACCACTGCAGTTGTCTATGTGAAAATTTACATCCCAAACTTCATTTGCAAATGAGGTTGAAATCCCAAACTACAGATTTTACCTGGTGACTGTCTCAAAAGCAATATGAGAAAAATGAAACATGAGGTGGAAACATATTGGGAACATAATTTAGAAAGTGAAACACCAACATGCAACCACTTCCAGATGAAAAAAGTTTGAGGAAGGTTACCTATACACATGAATCAGGGAAAAGATGTAAGGAAAAGATACAGTCTAACCCTGGGTACCTGGGCATCAGTCTATATTATGTCATTAACAACAACAACAACAAACTAGTAAGAAGGTCCCTGATACTCCTTGGTGCCAGGGGCTGAAACTTACTGATCACCAAATACCTAAACATGATACTCAGGAACCAATATTTTCTTGCTGAATAAATGTATGATTACCTTTTACCCTGCCTTATTCCCAAAAAGGGTTTTAAGATTATTGTTGAATGAATTAATAAGCAATGGTAACACTTCATATGTATACTTTCTTAAATGATCATTTTTCAGATAAACAGACAATGTACATTATATTTCACTGAAGCAGTAGAAAGAAGTCACTGTGAAATGGAAATTTACTATGTGGTGTATTTTAATTTATGAGTATCCCAGACCATGTGGTTTGATTGTCCATTTGACTAAGTGCTTACAGCTGTTTTATGAGAGAATTAAATGCTAGCAGACTGAACATCAATGAAGGCAGGACAGTGCTTTGAAATTAAAATTAGGATTCTAAAGCATACTTTTATTATGGGTTGGTGAATATTTTTAATAGTAGGAAAATATCTTTGACATTTTCATGGAAGTCACTGATTCCTATAGATGACCTTGTAGGAGTGTATATAATACACAAATTAGGATTGTTCTATCATTCTTTTAGGAAGCCAGACACTAGAGGTGTGAGATTTTCAACTGTAAATTCTAATCAGTGGATAAAAAGACAACATTCCTGGTCTGTGTTGCCAATTCTTCCTCCCAGTCTGAACAACCTCAGCCTATCAGGTGAGTAAATTATAAGACATTTAAGAAGCTGGCAGGGGATTCTAAAACGGAGCACTAGGATCCTGCTTATTTTACTGAAATCATAACTGTAAGTTAATAGCTAGAAATACAAAGAAATTCAGGGCTTGGGATCAGAGTTCCAGGCATCAGCTCATTCTGCTTAGTCCTTGAACACAGGTAAGAGAAGTGAACTACAAGGTCAAGTGAGATACATGGGGCTCTGAAACGTACTCTAAGGAACCGAGGGCCACCCAGCTGATGAGAAAGCACACCGTGGTACTTTGGGGAGATATATTCTGACCTCCCTTCAGTTTGCATAAACCTTTTGCCTTTTACAAAAATTACCCTAGCGTACCTTCCCATCTATGTTTGGGTAATGTATGAGAGCACCTTACTAAAAGGAGTTTGACACAGGCGAGGGGTGGGTGGATCCCCTTACCTCCTGCCTAACAGGGGACTCCCCTCACAATGGCAGGGCTTTCAAAGCCCCACATGGCTCCAGATGTTACACCAGGCAAGTATATATTTTTTTTATTTTTATTTTTTCAGGCAAGTGTATTTAAGCACATCTCTGCTGTCTTGAGTGGGTGGTGGGGTAGGAGGTGCTGGATACTTGACAACTATTAAAGGGATTTGGGCCAGCTTTTATGTGTAAGATTTTCTTTAAACAAGACCCACTTAGACATGAAATATTTCTCAGGTGAAATTCTGTTAAAAGGGTTAATGGAGAAACAAGTTCCATGCAAAACAACTCAAATATCCAGGACCAAAGTTAGAGGAAAAGAAAAAAAAAAAATCCTCAGCTCAAGACTAAAAGAAGCAATTGTCTTGAGCAAGTCACAAGTCAGTTTAAAACACAAACACTACATTTACCCAAGTTGCTAATACCACTAGCCTCATTATGAAGGGACTCGTTTAGAATAGAGAATTTGAAGAAAAGTCTCCAAACTGATGTTTTCTTGAGCCGCCAACCCTAGTCTGGACCCTCGTCACTCACTTCAGGATAGATGATTATATTTGTCTCCATTTCTCAGTTAGTTTCTCTCCTCTCTAATCTGCTCTATGCACTTTCCCAAACTATTATTTCCAAAACCTTCAATAAGTCCCCCACCACAGGATTAAATCCACTCCCCTCAGCCTGGCTTTTGAGGTAATCCACACTTTGTGATTTCCACTCTGGCTGCTAACTCTGTGTTGTACCACAAAATACAGTGGCTTCACAGCATAGACACAGAGACCTCAGGAATTAACAGCAAGAACAGATGTACTCTGGTATTGCTGCTCCATATCTGGGTAAATATTTCTGTTGAATGCCAGGAAAACTGTCTAGGTGAGGACATTTAAATGCCAAGCGTGCCTCTCTCTCCTCTGGGGTATAGGGGTCATAACATATTCTTCAACAAAAATAGATCGTGAGACCTGCATCATCCCAGAGTTATTTAAGCACCAATATAACAAACCTAGAACAGAGATTGTGCTATGTTGTTTCCCCTAATAAAGTTATTAATTAGAATTAGTCTGATCAGCTTGGTTTGCTGCTGCAATACTTACTAAATTGGACACTTAATCATTGTTAAGTATTGGCGTGGAATATTTGAAATCTTAAGAGAAGCTTTAAACAGCTGAGAAATATTCACTTAGAGTTACTATCCTGTTTACAAATCTTTACATTTGTTCATAAAAGCAATGATTCAAGGACATGATTCTAGTTCCAGTTACTCATTTTTTATAATTAGGTTGCACATTAATTTAGATGACTTTCTGGATCATGGCTAAACTCTATGGGCGGCAACATTTCAGCCTTTAGCTGCATCCTGTTCTGGCACCACAGGGGAGGCAGCAGCTGAGCTGGAAGTGAAGGGTAGCTCAGCAGCTGAGGTGCGGGCAGTTGGGGAGGCTGGGAGGCGGGGAGCAGGCCAGGGTTCTCATACCTTCAGCAGCTTCATCAGCCCTTCCAGCTGAACCATCAGCTCGCGCCTGCTCTCCTGTAGCGCCGACATTCTCTGCTCCAGCTCATCTTTCCTCTGCCTGTCCAAGAGGAAAAGCCCATCAGAAAGGAAACTCTGAGGATAAAGCGACCTTCAAAAAAGGGTCCAAGTGTTGGTGAAGTGGGTTGTAGGCCTGACTCTGCTGAGCAAGTCATTTAACCCCTGATATATTATGTAGAAGGTGGTGATAATATTTGTTTTGCTCACTCCTCTTTCCTGTTCTAAGAATGGTATATATAAATGTTTTAGAAAACACACAATATAGATAAGGCAATATAGAGAAAGAAGTATTATTATTATTATTATTATTGAAGTGGTTTTTAAAAATTCCTCAGGAAATCAAATGCCTCATCTAGAAAGATATATAAAACTAGTCCAAATTTAAATTGATAGTGGACAAAGTGTATAATAACTGCTCGGGGACAATAGGGTTCAGTTGCTATTGCTTCCAGCACCAGATGCCAACCTCAAGAGAGTGACTGACATCAGGGTGACTCTGTGTCTATGAGAATTCACTTTTTCCTGAGGACAGATTTCATGTCAATTCTAGCACTCGCTATGTCCAAAAAAACTTAAGACTTTAATCTGAAAATGGTTCTCTTTCCTGATTTCTTCCAGTTGTCATGGCTGAAAACCTCGGTACTCTCTAATACGTTTCTTCTTATACCCTATACTCAGTCACTCAATTCAGATGATTCTTTCTCAGAAATGTGTCTTTCTTTTCTCCTGTCTCTCACTTTATCCAAGTGTGCCCCATCTCACACATGCAATAGTCTCTTATCTTGATTAATCCTGATTTCAACTGTTACGGTGAAAGGGAATAGAAATCAAGAGACTTAAGGCCCACCACTTACTAAATACCACAACCCTGGACAAGTCACTTACTGTGTAAGATCCTCAATTTTCTCTTTGCTATAATGGGACTGACTACAAACAACAATAGCAGTATTTTGAGGATCAAATAAAATAATAGGTATGAAAGTGTTCTATGAACTTTACAATGCTACTGAAAGAAAAACTGTTTATTCCACCATCCTCTGTAATACTCTCAGTAGGAGAATTTCTAGCATCACTAACACTCTCGCCTCGCACAATCCATGCCTCGGCTGTCCACTCGAGTAAGCACTAGCCATATGTAACTACTAAATACTTGAAACATGGCTATTCTGAATCAAGATGCACTGGATTTCAAAACCTTAATGTAAAAAAAAAGTAAAATATCTTATTTTTTAAAAATGTGGATTACATGTTGAAATGGTAATATTTTGGAAAAATCAGATTAAGGAAAAGATAGTTTTAAAATTAATGGCACCCATTTCCTTTTAGTTTCTCATTGTGGTTGTTAGAAAAGTTTTTTTTTTTTTTGAAAAGTTTTAATTATATATGTGATTCACATTATATTTCTATCAGGGAGAGCTGCTCCAGACCCCACCTGCATTCCCATCCCTACCTTCTATTCCCTTCCATGTCTGGATGTCTAGCTGATGGTTCCCTTTTCCCTAAACAGACCCTATCATTTCACCGCTCACAGTCATTCCCCCATTTCTTACATTTAGTCTTTAGCATCCAACCCAAACGTCACTCTTCCCAGGAAGCTGCCCCTAATTACTTCAGTAGGTATCAGATCCTGCTCAATTAATCGCCAGAGCAACTGGTGCTTCTCTGTGGCACTTAATTTATTTTACCTTGCATTGCTGTCATTCCTACCATGATGCAAAATCCTTGAGGTCAGGGGATGATGAGTTTTTGCGTGTACGGAATGATTAAGAGAATATCACACGTTCAGTATGTATTCAGTTAACATCTAGTGAAGTTAACACAATCATTGTTTGAAATCCTCCAAGGATTTCCAATCACCTATCACTTAAGGCTCTCTAGAATCTGGTCTCAATTATTCAACTACTTTTATCTCTTATCACTGGCACTTGAAAAATTAATGCAATGGATGCCTGAAATAAATTCTTAGCTCCAAGACTCCTTCCCTCCTCTGAAATGTATCATAGTTATTTGGGGGATCATGCTGAACCCCAACTCCACTTCTCAGTGTTTTATCCCAGACTCCATCCACATCATCATCCCTACCTTTCATGGTCTAGCTCAAATTCCACTACCTCCATGGGTCTAATTGCTTGTAGTATATATATGTATATAAGCTTATAGCTTATATATATACATGTAGCTTCCTTTTTAAAAGATTTTATCTTTTTATTTGAGAGAGAGAGAGAGAGAAGCAGAGAGAATGAGCAGGGGAGGGGAGAAGAGGAAGAGAGAGAAGCAGACTCCCTGCTGAGCAGGGAGCCTGACTTGGGTCTTGATTCCAGGACCCTGAGATCATGACCTGAGCTGAAGGCAGATGCTTAAACCAACTGAGCTACCCAGGTACCCCACCTTTTTAAAATTATTTTTTCCATACCCAGCTTGGAGCCTAATGTGGGGCTTGAACTCACAACCATGAGATCAAGACCTGATCCGAGATTCTTGAATTGGATGCTTAACTGACTGAGCCAGTAGGCACCCACCCACTTAGATTTCTTACAACATAGGGCCCATACTACTTACTAACACTATACAATATTAGTTAACTGACTAGAAAATTATTTTAAATTTATTCCCAAAACGGTATTATAAATTTTTAAGATGGAATCAGTTTTTTAGTCTTCATACTCCCTAAATTTTCAGCACAGCTATAAATGCAATAAAGAAAAACTGACTCATTCAATTTTCTAGAAAGTCTTTGTTCTCTGAACTCTTTCTCTGTGCTAAGCATAACCAAATAATTGGGCAGCCCCGGTGGCGCAGCGGTTTAGCGCCGCCTGCAGCCCAGGGTGTGATCCTGAGGACCTGGGATTGAGTCCCACATCGGGCTCCTTGCATGGCTCCTTGCATGGCTCCTTGCATGGAGCCGGCTTCTCCCTCTGCCTGTGTCTCTGCCTCTCTCTCTGTGTCTCTCATGAATAAATAAATAAATAAAATAATAAAAAAAAGAAAGTTTAAAAAAACACAAATAATTATAATATGTGGTGAAAATGAATGAACTTTTAGCTACAAACAACATGTTAGGATCCTGAAATATAATACTGAGGGGAGAAAAGGCTTCACTATACACATATAATATTTCTATAATACTCAAAAAGCAAAAATAAACACTTTAATATATGTATCATATATTTGATCATACTGTTTAAAAAGTAAGGAATGATAAACCAAATTCTGGATAGAGGTGAGCTCTGTGGGGGAAGGTGGAAGCAAGGAAATGGGACCAGGAGCACTTACACATGACATGATTTTAACCACATATGAGTAGGACACGAGTTCACACACGTTCATTTTACCATTATGCTTCATATCTTGCATGGTTGTCATATACGTTATTGTAATGAATATACCATTAAAAATAATAATCAAGGGGGAAGATGGCCCTGGTGGTCAGGATTCATAACCACTAATCCTTTTTTTTTTTTTTTTTTAAGATTTTATTCATTTATTCATGAGAGACACAGAGAGAGGCAGAGACACAGGCAGAGGGAGAAGCAGGCTCCACTCAGGGAGCCCAACGTGGGACTCGATCCCAGGACTTCAGGATCACACTCTGGCAGAAGGGAGGCGCTCAACCATTGGGACACCCAGGCGTCCCCATAACCACTAATCCTAAGAATGAAATTCTCTATCTTCTTTTATTATACCAGCTGGGATTGGCAGTTCCTGGATAGATAGATAGATTAGATAGATAGATCAATCAAAACCATAAAGACATCAGATACCTAGAAATGAATCTTGCCCTTTATTTGTCTTTTGATAAACAAAAGGCCTTAATATGAATATAGATGAATTTACCAACTTCTTTCATGGTTAGTATTCTGAGAAATTATTTTCTATTCCAAGATCCTAAAGAAATTCCTGGGGCACCTGGGTGGCTCAGTCGGTTAAGCTCCTGCCTTCGGCTCAGGTCATAATCCCAGGGTCTTGGGATGGAGCCCCATGTCGGGCTCCCTGCTCAGCAGGGAGTCTGCTTCTCCCTCTCCCTGTTCCTGGCCCCACCCCCACTCCTGCTTTCTCTCCCTCAAGTAAATAAATAAAATCTTAAAAAAAAAAAAAGACATTCCCTACATTTTCTTCTAAAGTTTTAAAGTTTTGTCTTCATGTTAAATCCATCTAGTGGTGTTTTCTGTATGTAGTATGAAGCAGAGAGCCAGTATGTTTTGTCTGTATGCATAACCAATTGATGCTGCACACTTATGAAACAGTCCCTCTTTCTTCAGTGATAATGGAAGCTGCTTTTGAGATTAAATACTTCCTGATTTCTTAAGTGTTAGACCTCCTTGGATTTGGTTAAAATCTGCTTCTTGCTGCCTACATGACACCCCCTGACTCAGCCCTTTGCCTACTAAATCTATGATATTTTTCAGACACCTCCAGCTTAATTAAGGACTTTCAGCAATCCCACTTCCAGTAACAGTTAAGACAGGAGTATAATCGTTTTTGCTTTGCTAGATACAAAATAGTTACTTGTGCCAGAGCTGGGGTGGGGAAAGGGAATAGTTGTATCTTATGCTGAGAGTTTAGAGTTACACTGGGCTTGAGTCAGCAGCAAATGCTCTCCCAGACTTCCTATTGCAGCACCAACCTGCTAACACCCCAGGCATGCAACAGAGGACCGCATAGCAACCAAATCCTCAATCCCAATTAAATATAGAAACTAAAACGAATTTTCTGAAGAATGGAAATCTCTGTATCTCTAATGATTTTCATCTGCACAGCTTAAATTCTTTATGACTTATTTATTAATGATATAAATCTAGACAGAAAGATAGTTATAAAAAAACAATAATCTCTATTCTTCAGGAAAAGAAATCATGGTTGGGAAGCTAAATGACCTAAGCCAAAGGAAGAATTAAAAAAGGATATTCAGCTATGCAGAATCCCAGATGAGAGCACATTAAAAATCAAGTGTGGCATGTCAAATGTTACAACCTACACAGAAAAACCCACTCTCTGGACATTTAGAGGTCTATGAAAATCAAGTCACTAACTTAGTGTCCAAAATGTCTTCTTCACTTACCAAAGAGTACACACACATCTTTCTAAGACTGATAGGAAATAAGACCCTAATAGCTTTGATCCAATCACTTTCATGTTATGCTCTTCTGAAGATTTCTCCATTCCCTCCAAAATAGCATCTGAGTGGGAGCTGAAGCTGCTCTCTACACCCTTATTCAGATCCCATGCCCTTTAGTCTCCCAGCCCTGAGACAGTTTATATTTATGTTGAAGTGGGAAGGTTCCATGGCCATGGTGCAAGGGATTCCCACTTGGTTTTGTGTCTGAGGATGTGCACAGGTAGCAAGCTCTCCTTCAACAGAGTCCTGCTCTATGAGGTGCCAGGAGAACATACTACTAGGACAGAAGAGTCTTTAAAGTTAGGCTAATGAACAAAATAGGAAAATTGATTGTAGAACAGTGGTTTTCTTATAGCAATCACAAAAGTATACACGCTGCTGTGTTGTCGTGGAACTGGAGACTGGTGTTGACTTGGTTCTGGAATGATGGCTAAAGTTCTCAGGGTCATTAATAATAGAATCTGAACACCTGAAGTGGTAACAGAATGAGTGGAATGCATTTGTTCTAACACAACTAGTTATAGTGATGAACAGCTTCTATCCCACTAGTTTGGTTTCCTGACACATAAATTCCTACCATAGCAGATTACCATTTGTGGCCAGTGGTGCAGTATCCCTACTTACCTCAGCAGCCGCAGCTCTGCCAACAACGTGGGGTTCTGTTGTGCCTTCTCGGGGGTGGGCTGGGAAGCCTGCTCATGTTCCAGGCGAAGACGCTGAATCTCTTGCAGGATCTCCCTAGAGAGGACAGATGAAAGAGAGATGGCTGCACAGCTCACCCTTTCCTGTCAAGACTTCTAACTCTAGTACAGTGGCCTCTACCAATCTTGTTCTGACTGCTTCCAAACGCCCCAGATGTGAAAGAGCCACCCTCTTAACACTGTTCCCCTTCATATTTCCTCAATGAAACAATCCTTTGTGGTAGAACAAGCCATATAAATATTCTTCTCAAGAACTTGAGAAATCTCCACAAAAGGAAACCCACCACCAGAATGCTCTGATCCTTTCTAGGGAAAGGAAAAAAGAACTCCCTGCAACCTCCTAATGTGGGTCCTATATGCTAACGTGCCCAGAGTCTTTGTCTTCCTTCTTCCTCTTGAGCTCCTGAGTGATGACAGCTGCCATTTCCTCTTCCTGTGCCTGTTACGTTACATCCAATCTCCTTGTCCTGGTTTCTGCCTTTCAGGGCATACTGGTGGGCTGTCTGGTCTCCGTGCCTTTAGATGGCTTTATTGTGAGAGACCAGACAGTCACACACAGTACAATGGGCTGGGAAAAGATGACCAGATAGAACAGAAGGGGGTTGGAGTGGAAAAGGGAATCATGAGAGGGGAACTGGCAGGTGGGAGAAGGCACTGGGGGAAGAATCCACCTGAGGGCACAGGAGCAGGGCTGTGGACCCCGGAATGGTCAGCGTGCAGGGATATACAAATTAGAGTAGGGGCATTCCCACGGGTTGGTCTGGCCTATATTAACTAAGGTGGGATCTTCCTTTATGGTCAAAAGCCAGCTAATCTGCAAGGAAAATGAGAATCAGATACTCACATGATGATCTTGGACTTCAGAAGCTGTCTTGACCTCTGCATTCTTACCTGTTTTTGTTTTCCAGTTCTGCAATAAGCTGTCTTTGTTGTTTGTTGGCATCAAAGTTAAAACTCAAATCAGCAGGAGGACGGGTCTACAGTGAGGAGAAAGAAAGTTTTTAAATTTCTTTTTGTTTTATGTGTATGTGATTAAACGATATCCTGAGTCCTAGACTGATTTTTTTTTAATTTTTATTTATTTATGATAGTCACACAGAATGAGAGAGAGAGGCAGAGACCTAGGCAGAGGGAGAAGCAGGCTCCATGCACCAGGAGCCCGACGTGGGATTCGATCCCGGGTCTCCAGGATCGTGCCCTGGGCCAAAGGCAGGCGCCAAACCGCTGCGCCACCCAGGGATCCCTAGACTGATTTTTTTAAAATGCATTTTTGAGGTAAAATTTACATACCATAAAATTCACCCATTTTTTAAATTAATTTATTTTTAAAGATTTTATTTATTCATGAGAGAGAGAGAGAGAGAGAGAGAGGTAGAGACACAGGCAGAGGGAGAAGCAGGCTCCATGCAGGGAGCCTGACGTGGAACTCGATCCTGGGTTTCAGGATCAGGCCCTGGGCTGAAGGCGGTGCTAAACTGCTGAGCCCCCGGACTGCCCTAAATTCACCCTTTTTAAATATACCATTCATGGAGTCTTAGAAGATTTAAACAGTTGTGCAACCAATCACCACAGTCCAGTTTTAGAACATTTTCCATCACCACAAAACAATTCCCTCATGCTGGTTTGTCGTCAATTGCTACTCTCATCCTCAACCACAGGCAACCACTGATCTGCTTTCTATCTATAGTTTTGCTTTCTCTAGAAGCTTCAGATATACGGACTCATACAATATGTAGTCTTTGGTTTCTGGCTTCCACTAAGCATGTTTCTAAGATTTGTCACTATTGCTCCATGAATCAGGTGTTCCTTCCTTTTATTGTTGAATAGTATTCCACTGTTTCTAGTTTTTGACTGTTACAAATGAAGTTGCTGCATATTTTCATTTACAAGTCTTTGTGTTAATATATTTTTATTTCTCTTGGGTAATTACCTAGGAGTGGAATTCTTGAGTTATATGGTAACCCTGTATTTACTATTTTGAGGAACTGTCCAACTGTTTTCCAAAGTAGCCGTACCATTTTATTTATTTTTTATTTTAAAATTTTATTTATTTATTCATGAGAATACACAGAGAGGAGAGAGAAGCAGAGACATAGGCAGAGGGAGACACAGGCTCCATGCAGGAAGCCTGATGTGGGACTCGATCCTGGGTCTCCAGGATCACACCCTGGGCTGAAGGCAGCACTAAACCGCTGAGCCACCAGGGCTGCCCAGCTGTACCATTTTAGAATACCTATGAGTGTCAGTGTGATTTTTCCATATTGTCACACTTGTCATTGTCTTTTGTTTTAACCAGATTCTAGTGCCTGTGAGATAATAATTGTGGGTTTTTAAAAAAAGATTTTTTATTATTTATTGAGAAAGAGAGAGAGAGAGCACACACACACACGAGTGGGGGGAGGAGCAGAGGGACAGAAAGAATCCCAAGCAGACTCTGTGCTGAGTGCAGAGCCTAATGTGGGGCTCGATCCCAGGACCTTTAGATCATGATCTAAGCCGAAATCAAAAGCTGGACACCTAAACAACTGTACCACCCATGTACCTCCTGTTAGTTTTTTTTTTAAATAAATTGAGATATAATATACAGACTTCAAAATCCATTACTGTCCAATTCAATGGTTTTTAGTATATTTACAAGATTGTGAGATTATCATGGCTATCTAATTCCAGAACATTTTCATTATCCCCAAAAGAAACCCCATACCCAATAGCAGTCATTCCCCATTCCCCCTACACCCATACCCTGAAGACTGCTAACCTATTTTTTACGTGTATGGATTTGCCTATTCTGGATAGATCATATAAATAGAATCTTATGTGATCTTTTACATCTGGCTTCTTTCACTTAGCAAAATGTTTTCAGGGTTCATCTGTGTTGCAGCCATGTATCAACACTTCATTCTTTTTTGTGGCTGAATAAATGGTTGGTTACAACCATTGTAAATGGTGGTTACATGGATATACCACATTTTGTTTATGCATTGAACAGTTGATGGGCATTTGAGTTCCTACCAGTTTTGGCTATTCTGAATAATATTGTTATCAACATCTGTGGACACATTTTTGTGCACAGATAGGTTTTCATTTCTCTTGAGTATATATCTAGGAATGGAATTACCTTTCCTAGCAACTGTCTTTTGAGGAACTGCTAAATTATTTTCCTAAGTGGCTGCACCATTTTACGTGCTCACTAGCAATGTATAAAAGTTCCATTTTTTTTTCCGTATCTTTGCCAACACTTGTTATGGTACATCTTTTTGATCATAGTTATCCTAGTGGGTGTGAAGTGGTATTTCATTATGAATTCAACTTGCATTTTCCCTATGACTGATATATGGAGCACGCTTTCATGTGCTTATTGCCATTTGCATATCTTCTCTGTCAAAATAATTTGTGGTTTTGATTTGCATATCCACTGACATTTCTGACCCTTGTCACCTCCTTTAAGAACATGGAAGCCAATCACCACAAACTAGGAAAAAAGATGCAGAGGTGATGTTTCTTTTTTTTTCATTAACCAGAATAGAAGCTCAAAATGAAGGCTCTGCAATAGCTACGCTTCACTCTGCATACACTTGGTTAAACCTAAAACATGACCAATCATGAAGCAGAAACCTTGTTTCCTGTCTACAGCTTAAAGATGCAATAAGTAATTATTTTCATGTGGGATTTCCTAAATAAAAAGGGGCACAAAGGTATAGCAAATGTGGGTGGGAGGTGTTTTTACCAAATATTTTTTCTTAAAAGAGAAAAAAAAGGTGATGTTTCTTTCTCTAGAGTGGACCAACAGCCAATTGAGCAAATTTTCTATATTCCACAGTCTTGTGAGAATCAGAGCTGAACCTCAGAAAAATGGCTTGCCTGAGACTGAATCTGCTGTAAATAACAGATTTTCAATTCCTGAAAACTGGAGTTAAAACAAATGGCTCCTTACTAGTGTGGGATCAGGGAAAATTATGGATGGGGAAATGTGCTCTAAAAGGAATTGGCTTCATGATGGCAAACAAAAACCTCACAGCATTTCACTGGAAATGTATTTTTTGTTTTTAAAATATTTTATTTATTTATTTGAGAGTGAGTGAGACAGCACAAGCACGGGGAGCAGCAGAGGGAGAAGCAGACTCCCCATCGAGCAGGGAGCCCCATGTAGGACTCAGTCCCAGGACTCTGGGATCCTGAGCCATGGGCAGATATGCAATGGATGGAGGAGCCACCCAGGTGTTCCTTCACTGGAAATTTCTAAAGAATCTTTTCAGTTTTGAGTACTGCAGGGTTGAGGCTTCTTTCAAAGAGGAGAGGAATATAGGAATCAAGACTTATTATCAGCAGCAATTCTTAACCAGGCGAGATTCTTTGGCACCAGGAAGTATTGTTACTTGAGTACAAAGCAGTGTGGGAGGAAGATTTATACCCTGAGGCAGCAGTTCACCTGGACCACAGGGAGAGCACCCAGTGGTAAATGCTGAGAATGGCTTATTTCATCCAATCAAATTTTAAACACAGTCAAGTGTACATTAAATAACAGAGAAACTTGGGATTTTGTTTATTTACTATTTTAAACTCCATAGTGCTTCTTTAAAAAAAAAAAAAAAAAAAAAGGCCAGGTCTCTCTTCCTAAAATGCCTCTAGGATACTGAAGAGAAAAAAGACAGAAAGGTAATTAGTTCAGAAAGAATTATTAGTTCAGAATACTTCAACCACAAGAGACCTAAGGATGATTTCTTTAAAAAATTAACTAGTTCATTTGTTTACTTGACAAATATTTTGTACGCACCTACTATATGCTAGATACTATTCAAGGAAGTAGGATGCATGAGTGAGTAAGATACAGTCCCACCCTCATGAAGCTTACATTATGCTGGCAGAGAAAGATAAGAAACCAAAGATAGAAGTACAGACCATCAGTAGTGATAAATCTAATGACAAAATATAGGGTAATGAAATGGAATAAACGGAGACAGAAGACTTTCTGAATGATGTGATTATGAAAAGGCTCTCAGAGAGTCAAGTGGGGAAGCAAACCAAGTGCTATCTGAGAGAGGGGGCATGCTAGGCCAAAGCCAGGGCCTGCAGCTGCTCCATCTGGGTGTGTTCGTGTCAGTATTGATGGAATAGAGTGGACTCTGCTGAAATGGTAGCTGACTCTAGGAGATGACCCTGGGGTCCCAATCACCAAGGGCCTTTTAGCGTTGGAGAGGAGTTTCCATTTCATTCTGAATGTAGTATGAAGCCACTGTAGGATTCTAAATTAGGAAATATGGAATCAATTCCAAATAATGTAGGTATATATTCTGCCTTCAAGGAGGTGAAGCTAAACTCCAAATCCTTTAGTATAGGCTGTCTGTAGTGACTTTTTTCCAAAGAAGACAGTGTGGAAAGAGAGAGAAGAGTAACTTTATGTTGGAGAAACCTGACAAACACTACCTTAGCCAAGTGATTAAGGTCAACATCAACAGTGATAAATGATGTTGGTAACATGTACCCTTGATACAATGGAAGAAAAATGGTGCTTACTTCCTCCTCCTCAAAAGTCATAACTTGAGTCTGTGAGAAAAACATGAGACTAATATCAATTAAGAAACATTCTACAATGTATTTGACTAGTACTCCTGAAAACTGTCAAGGTCATAAAAAAAAAGAGAGTTAGAAAAGCTAATAGCCTAGAGGAGCCTAAGAGACATGACAACTAAATGTAATGTGCCATCCTGGTTGGAATTCTGGAACAGAAAAGGGACATTAGATAAAAACTAACAAAGTCTGAATAAAGTATAGACTTTAGTTAATAATAATGCATCAATATTGGCTCATTAATCGCAATAAGCATGCCATGCTAACATAAGATGTTAATAATAGGAGAAATGGAGCATGAGTTGTATGGAAACTCTGTAGTAGCTTTGCAATTTTTCTGTAAATCTAAAACCATTGTATAATAAAAAATTTATAAAAAATGAACAAACTCTGTTTAGACTCCTACATGGAGAATTTACTGTAGTGGGACAGAATGGAAGTAGATAGGCTAGTGAGGAATCCTAGGTTTTGCTATCTACTGAGTTATATTTTCTTGGCTGTAAAATGGGAATATTTACTGCAAGAGATGTGAAGAGGATCATCTCTTCTGTTACATGAGCATTCTCTTAGGTTTAGGTAATCTCACAGAGCTCCATCATCTTTAATGAGATGGAGATACATCTGAAAAATATAGCATAAGAAACAAGACTCCTTCGGATAAAACTGGGCAAATGATACAAAACCAAGGAAAGCCAATGCAGTAAGCACAGTGTAACCTCGTAGTACACATTTCTAAAACCTCCTAAAAAAAGGACAAGAGGCTTCCCATTTGTATGAACTTGACAGGATGAGTTCCAAAGAGATGTACCTGATACCAGCTAGGCTTTCTTTGTATCTCACTTGGACTAACTGGAGGGCTATGGATTATTAATCTCTCTCAAAAACCCAATGATTTTTAGGGTAGTGGGTCTCTATCTAGATGTAAATCAGAATACTCAAAGTTTTGTTTTTCCCTTTCTTTTTTTTTAAAGATTTTATTTATTTATTCATGAGAGACACACAGAGAGAAAGAGAGGCAGAGACACAGGCAGAGGGAGAAGCAGGCTCCATGCAGGGAGCCCGATGTGGGACTTGATCTCGGATCCCAAGATTACGACCTGAGCCGAAGACAGGCGCCCAACCGCTGAGCCACCCAGGCATCCCTTGTTTTTCCTTTTTAAATAAAAATAATAGACTCTAAGCCACAGAGATTCTTTCTGATTTAGTAGGTTGGAAGCAAAGCCAAGGAGCTCTTTATTTTTTAAATGCTTCACACATGATTATAACATGTATCCACATTTGACAATTACTATTTTACAGGAGCTTTGAGTCATTAAATGTGTGCAAAACACCACATGGATACTGCTGATCTTTACTTGTAAGAAGCCATAAGGACATTTCTAGAATGGTGCATGCTTGGAGCAGGATTAGTGATAAGGCTGCAAAGGCTGGGCTGAGCTATCTGAAAAAAATCTTCTCGGAAATATGTTAGGTTCCCCTTCCCTTCACATTTCTTCCAAGTTTTCCATAATGAATTTCAACATTTTTCATAAAGAAAAAAAACTGGAAAAATAAACGAAAAACCCTCCTTGGATTACATCTAATGTTGCTGATGTTGGTGATGAAATTTTAAAACTTTGCTGTTATTACTATGATTTACCACATGCTGTAATTTTGTTTTGTTTTGTTTTTAAAGGCATTTAGGCACTCCAGGAAAACAAATTAGCTCTCCTGGCTCATCTAAGCAAACTTGAATTTCTTTGTTCAAGGGTCAGTCTGAAGAGGTTTCAGTGGCCATGTTGTCACCTAAAGAGATGGGATAGCTCTGCTACTGAGGCACACCACAGGGTGCAATGCTGGCTGCTAAAGTAATTTAATGGTCTTTTTTTGTGAAAGAAGTTTTTTGGAAAAAAAAATCAATACAAAGCCTATCTGGCAGGCTATAAATAAATTCTTTTGAGCACTACACCCACTTTATGCAAAGCATTTGTATCAGCAAGAGATTAGCGGATTAGTAGTCTTCTGTTTAACAGAAATCTAGTCAAGAAGAATCCTTCCTGAGAGGCCCAATATTTAATAAGATAACTACACTTTGGAAAACAAACTGAAGATGAAAGGGACCATATCAGTATTTCGTCTTAAGACCATTCTAACAATGATCATTTTCACACGAATTAGAAAATTGGTATCAGAAACTATCAGGTGTAAACAGACTTATCTTGTTTGCAGGAAAGAACTGTGACCTCCTTCTCAGGGTCAAATGGCTTTGGAGCTTTTATTTACAATATTTTAAAAGCACAATGTAAAGTCAGTAAGACTATATAATGGCATTAAATACACACTTCTTTAAAAAAGTCAACCACAATACTATCTCAACATATTTAATTCTACAAATTTTAATTTCTAAAATAACTTGAACAGTTGTGACTGACTGAGGACACGTGTAAGGTATAACTAATTAAATGTAGCTTTTCTTTTTCCCTGACATCCCCCATTCCTTTCCGTTGCTTTTCACTAAACTTTAGAATTCTAACATTGGGAGTCAGACGTGTGACTAATACTCGATTCTCAAGGAAATAATTTTGAGGTCTAAACAAACCCAAAGAAATACATTAGTTTTTGGAGGAGAAACAAAGCAAGACTCTCCACTGGAAGCTGTCATTACTGTATTTCTCTATGAAGTTGGTACACATTTCTAAAAGTAATACACTATGTTTATAGAAGATGATTCTGAGACATCTGGCCTGCCTGTTCAGCCTAATTTCACTCCAAGTATTGTTCTCTGGGCTCTGGCCACACAAACCTCCAGGCCCAGGGCCCTCAGAGAGGTTGAAACAGCCCCCTGACACACACTGGGTGTGCCTGACCCAGTTCATGCTTACATAGTCTGTTGTTTCAGCCTCAGATCCTTCCTCCTTTTGTCTTCTTCTTTCTTCCAGATTTAATGCTCTTCCTGAACAACAACCTTCTGTAGCTAAATCTCAGTAGTTGTTAGAACAGCTTTACTTTTTCCTTTCCAACATTTATGCCCTTTTATTCTTGTCCTCTTGTACTAAGATCTCCAGTATAATTCTGAATAGAGGTGGTCAAAGTGGACACTTTTGTCTTGCTCTCAATTATTAGGTAGGGGAAATACTCCAAAATTTAACCTTTCAGTATAATATTAGCTGTAGGTTTTTTGTAGGTGTTCTTTATCAGATTGAAGAAGCTTCTTCTACTTCTAATATACTGAGAAATGTTATAAATGGGCAGTGTATTGTCAAATATTTTTTCTGTACCTTTTTTTTTAAAAAAAAGATTTTATTTATTTATTCATAGGGACACAGAGGGAGAGAGAGAGAGGCAGAGACACAGGCAGAGGGAGAAGCAGGCTCCATGCAGAGAGCCCGACGTGGGACTCGGTCCAAGGTCTCCAGGATCACGCCCTGGGCTGCGGGCGGCGCTAAACCACTGCGCCACCAGGGCTGCCCCTGTATCTCTTGAAATGATCTTATAACTCACTTTTTAAAACTAATATGGCAAATTACATTGGCTGATTTTTATGTATTAAATAAATCTGATTCCTAGGATAAATCTCACTTGATCGTGGGGTATTATCCTTTTTATATATTGCTGGATTCAATTCGGTAATATTTTGTTAAAGATTTTTTTCATCCATGTTCATGAGAGAATTTGGTTACTGATTTTCTTGTAATGGCATTTGTATTTATTTATTTATTTATTTATTTATTTAAATTTTTAAAAAGATTTTATTTATTCATAGAGACAGAGGGAGAGAGGGGCAGAGACACAGGCAGAGGGAGAAGCCGGCTCCATACAGGAAGCCCGATGTGGGACTCGATCCTGGGTCTCCAGGATTACACCTGGCTGCAGGCGGCGCTAAACTGCTGCGCCACCAGGGCTGCCCTGTTTTTATTTATTTTTTAAATATTTATTTATTCATGAGAAACACACAGAGAGAGAGAGGCAGAGGCACAGGCAGAGGGAGAAGCAGGCTCCATGCAGGGAGCCTGATGTGGGACTCAATCTTGGGTCTCCAGGATCAGGCCCTGGGCTGAAGGTGGCACTAAGCCGCTGAGCCACCGGGGCTGGCCCCTATTTTGTTTTTATTTTTTTTAATTTTTATTTATTTATGATAGTCACACACAGAGAGAGAGAGAGGCAGAGACACAGGCAGAGGGAGAAGCAGGCTCCATGCACCGGGAGACCAACGTGGGATTCGATCCTGGGCCTCCAGGATCGTGCCCCGGGCCAAAGTCAGGTGCTAAACCGCTGCACCACCAAAGGATCCCCCTCTTTTGTTTTTATATCAGATTAGAGTGGCCTGATAAAATGACTTGGAAAGTGTTTCTTCCTCCTCTATTTATTGAGAATTTATGTCAGAGTATTATTATTTTTTTCTTTAAATATATGATAGTACACAACAAGCCCTCTGAGTTTGTGGAGTTTTCTTTGTGGGAAGTTAACTATGAATTAAATTTTTTTAACAGATTTAGGACTATTTAGTTTTTCTACTTATTTTTATGTCAGTTTTGTTAATTTGTGTCCTTTTTTGAAAGTTTTTATTTATTTTTATTATTTTATTTTATTTATTCATGAGAGAGAGAGAGAGAGAGAGAGAGAGAGAGAGAGAGAGAGAGGCAGAGACACAGGCAGAGGGAGAAGCAGGCTCCATGCAGGGAGCCTGACGTGGGACTCGATCCCGGGTCTCCAGGATCATGGCCTGGACTGAAGGCAGCGCTAAATCACTGAGCCACCCAGGTTGCCCTAAATTTTTATTTTTAAGTAATTTCTACACCCAACATGGGGCTTAAACCTAAAACCTCAAGATCAGGTGTTGCACGCTCTGGTGACTGAGCCAGCCGGCACCACTAATTTGTTTCATTCAAGGAATTTGTCTATTTCATCCAGGTTGCCAAATTTATTGGCAAAAAGTTACTCATAATATTCCCTTATCATCTTTATAATATCTGTAGGGTCTGTAGCAATGTCCCTCTTTTTATTTGTGATATTGGTAATTTGTGTTTTCTTTCCTTTTTTCTTGATCAGGATTTCTAGGGGGTTATTAATTTTATTGCTTTTTAAAGAACCAAATTCTAGCTCTTTGATTTTCTTGGTTAATTTTTAAGAGTACACTGTGGGTAAAATTAAAGGCCACTATAATCCCTTCCCTAAACCCACTCCTCTCCAGTACCTATTCTCCTGAGCTTTGTGTTCAGCATCACCCTACCACTTGTGTATTAAAAGAATGCTAATTTCTGCTACTCTGCTAGGACCTTCCATTTACTCACCATGTTTCCTGCTTCTGCAGCCAGCCGGGCAGCATAGCGAGCTATAAGCCGGTGTTCCTCATCTAGTCGGCTAGGACTGTCCAGGACACTGCCAAGGAGACAAAAATTCAACAGGTGTCTATTAAGCATCCCTTATTCTTGCTTTTCTCTTAGAAAGATCAGATGGGAAAACGCTTGTAAAAACATATGGTACCAAGAGAAACAGGCCTGGGTCATAGATACTAATGGTCTTCTGAGAGAAAGGTGCTTTAGAGAACTGATAAAGCCACACATGCCATTTCTCTTCAGCAGCATATCCCCCCTACTCCTACACCACCAGAAGGGGCACTTCTTTTTGAATGTAAGGTCAATAAAAGAGCATCTGCAAAGTCTGTGAGAGGGATTTCTAATCAAATGTTTTGGAAAATCTCATGACTTTTATTAGACATAGGTCTTGAATTTAAAAAGACCAAGAGAAAACAAAAGCATCATGAAAACCAGAGGGCTAAGGAAAAGTACACTTGATACTGGCTGAACAAAACTGAGAAGCCCAGGCAAGGGCAGGTACACCATATGGTAAAGTTGGAGAAGAATCCAGGATATCAAACATTCTCTTTCAATGCTTTTTCTTTCCTTCCTTCCTTCCTTCCTTCCTTCCTTCCTTCCTTCCTTCCTTCCTTCTTTCCTTTCCTTTCCTTTCCTTTCCTTTCCTTTCCTTTCCTTTCCTTTCCTTTCCTTTCCTTTCCTTTCCTTTCCTTTTTTCTCTTTCCCTTCTTTCCACGCTTGTTTCACAATTATAGCCCTATCTTAGAGTGAATTAGTTCAGTCCATTACTCTGGGTGGCGCAGCGGTTTGGCGCCTGCCTTTGGCCCAGGGCGCAATCCTGGAGACCCGGGATCGAATCCCACATCGGGCTCCCGGTGCATGGAGCCTGCTTCTCCCTCTGCCTGTGTCTCTGCCTCTCTCTCTCTCTCTGTGACTATCATAAATAAATAAAAATTAAAAAAAAAAAGAAATCTTAAAAAAAAAAAAAAAGAGTACCAAAGACCTACCTAGGTGAGATATCAGATACTGCTGCACCTGAATGAAAGAAGCATTCATGAATAATAGGCTAGTTCTGTGTATATGTTGATGCAGTGACCTTTTGCCTGGACTATGAAATCACTGACTCCTTTAATTTGGCATGTTATATCAACTGTCATTTATCCATATCAAGGCACTCCTAGATTAATAGGGACTGTGGCAATATAGTTGTTTGTTTTCGTCTGGCAGATGCTTTAAGGTAATGGTGGTGGTGATGACTGACCAGAGATGGCTGTTGTGGTCTGCTTCTACTTTAGTCCTTGGTTCTTGGTGTTCCAAAAACCTTTGATTGGAATTTAGCAACATGACGAGTAACCTGAAAAAACTTAAAGACGTGAGTCCAATAGTCATCAAATCTTGTAATAATCACTGAGAGGGATCTGGGAAGGGAGAAGTTAAATAGAGATGTGTCTGACTTTTTCATGGATAGAATCAACTGATTTTCTCCTAGATTTTTTCACCTTTCTATATTTCTACTATTGTGGCCAATTCTTTAACCTTCACTTGGTCTTTCCTCTAGGATGGATTTTTTTTAATGTGTTTTCTTTTGCCTGTGCCACTTCTGAATACTTTATAATTTTAGGTATGCAAATGTCAGTCTCCAGCCTGTATCAACATCCTCTCACAAGATGATCTTGTAATAAGAACACACTACCATCAGTTAGCTTTAATACATTAGAGTCAAAGCCCCAAGGTCAAGGCTGAACTGTAATATTTGTACTTTAAAGTTGTTCGTTGGAAATAAGAGAACTACTTTTATCTTAAAACAACAACAAAAATGAACATTTGCTTATTTAAGTGGCTATTATAGAGGGACTGGCAACCTAAGAAATGGGACTTAAAGTGGCTGCCCTTTGTTTTAGCAAGGGATATAACAAAAACTTCATTTTTTCCTCTGTGCAAAAGAGCTCCCCCTCCTCCATCGAGTTCCATCTCTCTAGGAAGGTTAATTCTGTTTGTCATTTATACCCAAGTGTGGACAACATGGTTGCTTTAATTGGCTATGCTTTCCAGCCAGAAACTAGAACTTTATGTTGATGAGAGGTTTTAAGGTCAATGAAAATTAAGAGGAAAATAAGAAAGGTTCCTTATTTTTCTGCTTGAGCTGACTTTCATTTTCAGAATTAGCCAGGAAATTTCTGACTTCTTTGAGGAAGCATGAAGCTCAGTTCTTTAGACTATAAATCAAGAAGAGATGCAGTACTCACCCAAATCTTCACGTTCTCCCAGGGCTCCCAGTCACCAGTTCTTACTCAGGAAGCCTAATCCCTAAGCCAGCAGGCTTGAGGACCTTAGCTAAATGTACCATAAATCTTTTGGGGCTGAAATATCGGGTTGCAGTCTGCCAATATTCTGCTTCTATTTTTCACCATGGAAACTTTTAATCACCTGGACAACTGCCCTTACTGATAATAAGTAAGCTGTCTTGCCAGGGATGAGACAACTCTATTCCTAGAGACCCAAGGAGCTGGGCAGAAATCATCTGTTTGATGAAGAGGTGGCTCTTTGTGTGATATGATACACAATTATCAGGCTTTCCTTCCCTCCATAGGAAAAGCCTATTACATACTTGGGAAGTAGGAAAGTAGACTTTAGAGTTAAATAAATGCCTTAAAATATCAATGCTATTTAGTCACACTGGCAAAACTATGGGAAATGGCACGAAGTATAATGGTCCTTCCCAAATATATTTTTTTCACATTGATTATTTATTTTTGTTATCACAGGAAATAAAAACAAGATCAAATGACCTTCCCATGGAGCCACAGCATGTCCTGAGCAAAACTGAGATCAAAATGTAAGTCTCTAGCCTCTCTTAGTTAATAAATTATGCTTCCTCCCTAATAAGAATAAGAATCTGTTGGGCACAGTGACTCTTACCTACTGGTATGGAGAGCGGAGGGATGACTTCAGATTATTTAAACTTTACCTGCTATTCTCCCTGCAGAATGGTGGTAGGTGTGGGCACAGAGTGGACAGGCAGCTTTGGGTCTGCCTGGATGTAATAGCACGTTGTTTGGTATTAATTCTTTTAAAGGGTTAACTTTGCTGTAGTTAGGGTTATCAAACGTTTGCCTATTCTAACCCATTGAGGAACCAGGTATATTTTCACATTAACAGTGAGTCACAACCAATAGTTTTCAGAGAATGGGGAATATAAAGTTGTTATACTACATATAATTGTCATATGAGGAGGTATATATTGTTTAGAGAAAGTCTCCCTCAGGTGACAGTGATCCAATACCACTGCTGCAAACCACTGGTTTAAATAATCAACAATAATCGATTTGGGGGAAAGATGCCACAGGGTGATGGTATCAGAGATTAGACAAAGTGAGATATCTGTGGGTTGATCAACCCTACGCTCTGAATGTCAACAGAAAGGTTTCATTATTTAGACAAGAATGAACAGTAAGAGGTTGCATCAAATAGCTCTGTGAATGTACATCTTTGGGACTGCATATCTGTTTGAGATTTACACAGCCTTTAAGTGTAAGCTGAAGGACATGAACTCCACTTTAAAAGAGCATTTCTGACTATATGTTTAGGTAAGTGCCCAGGCTTGGCAAGGCTCCTTCTCTTTCAGAAGTTAATGCTTTAGCAATTATTTAAACTCTGCCAAACATAGCTGGTAGATTCTCAAGAAAAACCCCACATGCAGAGTTTTTTCCAGCTGGCAAGCCCAGGTAACACAGCTCTCCCTCCCTCTAATCAGCCCTGGGCTACCCGCCTGCTGCTCTATCACTGACCGTGCACAGTGTTGCAGACGGGCCACATAGGAGGCTATCAGCGCATGCTCATCGGCCAAGTGACTGGGAATATCCTGGCTATACTGTAACCTAGGAGCAACGGAGGCAAAGACAGCAAGCAGGACACAAACACATACAGAGCAAGAAATGAACATGGATTAAAATGGGCAAACTTCAAAGAAAAATAGAAAAAAAAACATGATTAAAGAAAACAATAAAAAAAATCACAATGCATAATGAAATATGGTGTTAGACCATAGGGAATACATATCACAAATCCTTTGAACAAAAGCACTCTCTTAGGAAACAGCCTTGGCTAACTGATGCTTCAGCCTCTGAGCAGGAGAAATCAAGGAGGGGTCACCGAGAAGCTTTGCCCTCCAGTCTTATCCAGCCAGGTTCTGGGCTCTGGGATGGATGCACCTTGGAGGGAATGCCCAATGGCAGGAAAACAAGCAGAGTGGATCTACTTAACAGCACTAAACACTCTCTAATGCTTTTATAGCTTTTGTCTACATGTAAAGAATTTTCAGTGTTACCTCGTGATACCAGTTAAACCCCTTTTTTTCTAATAAGGATACTACCTTTAGCATCTTTCTATTTTCTCCCATAAAACTGAAACTTGTCAGAATTGTTTCTCATTGTAAAACAACACTGTATACATTCTGAGTGAGGCTTTTATAGACATTCAGAAGGTCCTTAAGCACATGAGTTTAAAAATTTTTCTACTCCAGAAATGCTAAAACATGCACAAAATGGAAGGTAAACAAATGACAACTTTTTATGTATCCATCACCAAACTTCAACAAAAGTCAACATTTTCTAACTTACTGATCTATTCTTCCTTCCCTCAACGTTTTGTCTAGAAAGGGGTGGTTGAAGCAAAGCCCAACTTTTTAAACATACTTTATTTATTTATTTGAGAGAGAGAGAGTGGAAAAAGAGCACGAGCAGGGCAAGGGGCACAGAGAGAGGGAGAAGCAGGCTCTCCACTGAGCAGGGAGCCCAACACAGGGCTGGATCTCAGGACCCCAGGATCATAACCTGAGCAGAAGGCAGACCACTCACCGACTGAGCCACCCAGGCACCCCAAGTTCCAGACAGTTTATTATTTCATTTGGGAATACTTAATGTACACAACCACAACACCATCAACACACCTAATACAATTTAACAAGAAAATTTTAACTCAGTCCATCTGAAAATTTTCCCAAATCTTTTTTTTTTAATTTTCCCAAATCTTAAAAAATATCCATCTACATTTAGAATCAAGATTCCAACATTGCATTTCGTTGATATGTTTCAGTTTTTAATTGGTAAGTTCTTCCTTTTCCTTGTTTCATGTCAGTTATTTGTGAAGAAAGCATGATATCTGTATCTGTAGCATACCCTACATTCTGGATTTGACTGATTGTTTCCTTGGTGCCATTTAATTTGTTTCTCTATCCCCTGTGGCTAGATCTGGGTATTTGATTAAAGTTTTTGCTTTTGTTTCATTTTTGAGAAGGGGCTAGAATCTGTTCTAAGTAATATGGTGTACTTATAAATCAAATAGGGAGCACATAATGGAATATAAATATTAATCAGTGGATGCAGATGTTATTGGTTACATCTCTCCATTATAAAGTCCCTCAGCAATTTCTCACTTAATAGTTTTAGCATTTACTAATGATTCTTGCCTAGATTCACTATTTCTTGTGGGGTTGCAAAGGTCCAGTTTCCAATTTCATCATCTTTTCTGTATTCATTAGTTTGCTCTATTTGTTTATCCTGAAATACTAATCATTCAGAAAAGGTAAAACAAATGGTTGGTATTTCTTACTATTTAACAAATTTCAGAACAATGAACGAGTCCCCTAGCAACCTCCATTGGTTACCAAGGAGTTTTCTTTTTTAGTATTATTATGAACTCATAGATTTTTACGTGTCTGATTGCTTCAATCCATTACAATCATCTTTTTGATGCTCAAATTGTCCTATCTTTGGCCAGTGGGAGCCCCTGTAAGTAGACTCCTGTGTTAATCTTATATATCAAAAAAAAATTAAAAAAAATTTAAAAAAATCTAATATATCTATCAGATGTCATTAGCTTTCTTGCTTGGCACACTAAGATGCGCCAGTCTCAACTTCTGCATGTCCTGCCTCACACTTGGGCAACTATTCCTATTCAACTATTCCTTCAAGGATTGCAGGTTCCCTTTATGAGGAAAGAGTATGTAGAGATCATAGTTAGGGTACTGGGCTGCTCTCTTTCCTGGACAATCCCTGCTTCTAGACCTTTTCAGTGGATAAAGCTAGGAAATCTATGTATTTTAGAAGGAATAAAAACAGGTTCTCTCACTACTTTCAAATGCCATTCAATTTCCTGCTAGCATGCATTATCTTAATGAAAAATAACTTCAAAATCTTATTTCCCCATCCCCCATACATAACATCTTTTTTCCTCCACCTGCTTTTAATATTTTGTCACTGTTTTTCAGCAATTTGATTGTGATGTGCCTTGGTATGGTTTTCTCTGTTTATCCTGGTGATAGCTTGTTGTATCTATGGGTTTATAGTTTTCATCAAATTTGTAAAAATTTACTTGGAAATCTGGCAAAAAATATTTCCTGAAATAATTTTTCTCTTCTCCCTCTGTTAGGCTGCTTATACTCTCCCATAGATTTTGGAGGCTCTGTTCATTTTTCAGCATTGCATTTTGGATAATTTGTATTGCTCTGTCTTTAAGTTCAGTGGCCTTTTTTTTCTGTAATTTCTGGTACTCTGTTAAGTCCATCTACTGAATTTTTCATTTTAGGTATTACCTTTTTCAACTCCAGAAGTTCTATTTTTTAAATTTAAAACTCTGTCATCGGGCAGCCCCGGTGGCTCAGCAGTTTAGTGCTGCCTTCAGCCCAGGGTGTGACCCTGGAGACCCAGGATCAAGTCCCACATTGGGCCTCCTGCATGGAGTCTGCTTCTCCGTCTGCCTGTGTTTCTGCCTCTCTCTCTTTCTCTGTGTCTCTCATGAATAAATAAATAAAATCTTTAAAAAAAATAAAAAATAAAACTGTCATTGAAGTAGAATATATATGCAGAAACTTTCAATTATGTTTATGTTTGCTTCTTTTTGATTTCCATTTTTTCTCATTATGTATATTTTCCTTTACATTTTCTATATCTGTTGTGGCTGTTTTAAAGCCTATCTCCATTCATTGCATCATACCTGTTATTTCTGGCTCTATTTATACTGACTAATTTTATTCTGGTATCAGACCAAACTTTCCTATTTCCTATGTCCTCTAAATTTTTATTGGATGATGGAAATTGTAAGGATTATGTTGTCAAATGTTTGGATTTTGTCATCTTCTCTTAAAGAATCTGGTAGTCGGGGATCCCTGGGTGGCGCAGCGGTTTGGTGCCTGCCTTTGGCCCAGGGCGCGATCCTAGAGACCCGGGATCGAATCCCATGTCGGGCTCCTGGTGCATGGAGCCTGCTTCTCCCTCTGCCTATGTCTCTGCCTCTCTCTCTCTCTCTCTGTGTGACTATCGTAAATAAATAAAAATTAAAAAAAAAGAATCTGGTAGTCAGTTAACTTAGTTGTGGACACATAGGTCCTTTTGAGGTCTGTGTTACAGTTTCATTAGCACAGAACTAAGTCACTTTCAGCTAGGGCTATTTTCACCCTACTCCTAAGGTGTGGCCTTTCTGAAGTCTTTATTGAATGCTCCCCAGTGTTTGATAATGTCTCTAACTCTAGTTGGCTGGAACCCAAACAACAGGCTGAGCTTGAGTAGCTGTTCCACTTTCAAAGCCCTAGGACTTGTTCTTTCCTCGGTAGTTTTTCTGTGGTGGTCTTGTGAAATCTTTCCATGCAAACGTAGCTTTGTTTTTAGCCGAAGACTTAAGGGACCTATATACAGGTTTATGGAGCTCCTTCTTGGTGTGCTTCCTCCCCTCTGGTATTCCTCTTGGCAAATTCCAGCCTCCCCAAACTCCAATCTCTCTTCTTATTCTCAGCAAATAAGGCTTGCACTGCTTGTCTCCAGCACTGGACTTGGGTAAATGCCTCCCAGTAGAAAGCCTGGGCAATCATAGGGCTTTCCTCATTTATTTCCTTTCCCTCAGAGAACAGTCCTGCCCTACTTACTATCTAATTTCTGAAAACAGTTGGTTTAATCAGAATAGTTTTCTAGAAGTTTATAGTGGGAGAACTAATCTGACACCAGTTACTTCACCATGACCAGCATGGAAGTTCTCTCTGTAGTAACTTTTTTTTTTTAAGATTTTATTTTGAAAGAGAGAGCAAGAGAGAGGGCAAGCAAGAATGGGGGAGGTGCAGAGGGAGAGGGACAAGCAGACTTGGTGCTCAGTGAGAGCAGGGAACAGGGGTGGGGAGAGTGTTTGATCTCATGACCCCGAGATCATGACCTGAGCCAAAATCAAGAGTTGGCTGCTTTAACCAACTGAGCCACTCAGGTGCCCCTGCAGTAACTCATTTTTATCATACTTTTGCAAAGTATTAGTATATTTCAAACTAGAAATTAAAACAAAATGAAACTGCTTCTTGTAAGACAGACTGAAAAGTAGCAATGTTATAGAAGGCCATCTTAAGGGCTTCAACTTTTACTGTGATATGAGAAGTTATTGGTAGGTTTTGAGCAGTTATTGGTAGGTTTTATATTCTAATAAGAGTATCTGCTCTTTGAAAGATGAAGTGTCAGAGAGTGAGGAAGAAGCAGCTAATGATAAGCCTCCTGCAACTTTCCAGATGAGAGACAAGAGTGGCTAGGAGAATAGTAGTAGCTGTCGAAGTGGTAAGAAATGGCAAGATCCTGGACAGATTTTTTTTTTTTCTGGACAGATTTTGACAGTGTTTTTGGATAAAGCTGATCTAATTATTTGACACCTTAGATGGGAGAAACATCAGGAGTTTTGACTGAGTCACTATAGGAATGAGATTGTATTAACTGAGATGAGGAAGATTGAGAGAGAGGCAAGAGTGGTAGGGGGAGACACAGGACTCAGTTTTGGAACATGCTAATTGTGAGATTTGTATTAGATACCTAGGAGAAGGTATTGACTAGTGAGAAGATCTACGAGGTCAGAG